GCTCTTCGTTATATTTGGTTTTGCTGTTTGGGGGTCTTCTCCTGCTTTGCACAAGGTGTTAGGTTCATTGTTATTATTTTATTCTGTTTTTATTATTAATTTTTATTCAGATACAGTTCTTTGATCAGGCAAGTGTATTCAGTTCTGTCCCAGGATCTTTGCAGTTTTAATATCGGCTTTAATGAAGAGGAAATTTCACTCCTGCCTCCTTTTGGAAGTGCTGATCAGGACCTGTCTGTGGCAGGAGGGAGCTCAGACAAATGCACAGAGCAGGAGGTCCTTGGTGCTTCCCAGGTACCTGTTGATCAGCCCTGCAGAGCCACAGCAGCTCATCTGGGCACTAATGCAGTTGTTAATAAGTGCAATTAATTTCTAGGCCTTGTCTGGGGGAAGAAAATGCATGAAAAGATGAAGATGGCTTTTAAGGGGGGAAAAGTGGTATCAGAGACTCACAAGTCCTGTTCTTAGTGAAGGCAGTGGGGAATGCTTAAGGCCTTGTGGAAGGCTTGGTAGCTCGTGGTTCTTGCAGCATCTTGCCCACCGGCTCGCATCTTCCTGATGGATCGTCCACATTAAAATGTGCTGCAGGTAACCATCTCCAGGTAGACATGTCTGGCTGTGCTCTGTCTTATGAGAGCCACTGGAGTTTTAATATGGGCAAGTAGTCTTCTCATGGCTCCCATTTCCAGAGGAAATTCAGGAAATCCTTTGCTTCATGCCAGAAGCCATGGTGCAATGTCCAAGTGCTGTCAGAGCAGGGTTGAGACCTGCTAAGCAGATACATGGTCATCTGGGCCTCTGTCCATCAAAACATGAGTATTTCCATACTGGCTTTTCTTAGCTTGGTTTGTACTGAACAGGAGCCTTTGTGTCTTTGTGCCTCTGGGAAGAAGAGATGATCATATTTGCAGGTTGGTCCTGCTCATCTGATTGAAAGCAGACGGTTGTGTAGGCATGACTGTAAATAAATGGGGAAGGGCAGAATGTCCTGTGGCCTCCTCGTAATCCTCTGTTTGTCCACCAGCTGTTTCCTCTCTCACGCACAGGCGGAATTTCATATTAAAACCTCCTCTTCCTCCTGTCAGTGTAGCTGCACAGTTGTTGGAGGAGGAGGGACTGCCAGCCATGGGACATTCCCAAGGCATCTGGCCGGCACTGCTCTGCTCTTCAGTAGCAAGTCAGTAAAAGCAGCTGCTTATTACAGAGCTGGGGAACCTATTGCTCAGAGGAAGAAAATTTCAGCTCAGGTCAGCTAAATTTCATTCTCTTTCTCCATTGTGTTGCACATCACTTAGCATGTCATGCTGGTCTCGGGCATAGATGCCAGTGTCATTAAAATGACACTGTGTTTGAACAGGGATCTTGACACTGGTTGTAGTATGTGTTCTGAGCACATCTCTTCAATCAGACATCCTGATTTACATGTCTATCTTTAGAACAGTTTCCTTAACTGGCCATCAAACTTTGACTTCAGCCGAAGAGGCTGTAAGTGCTTGGAGGTCTTTGTGTCACCGGTTCAGCTGAAGGGTGCTTGGGCTGTGTTCCTTGATGTCTTTCATTGTTTGATTGTTCTCCAGTGCTGCCCTACTAGACAAGGGGAGCTCTGTGAATTACTTGTGCTCCTAGACACACAAAGTACTGTTGGTGCTTTCCTTACCACTGGCCATCTTGATGAAGGGTGGCTGGATGGTGAATTTGCAGATAATTTTGCAAGGCTTACAATTCCTGTGCTGCTCCCTTGATCCCTAGATGAGAGCAAGGATTAGCTTATTGTTATTGCTTCCAGTTGCCTGTAAAACCAGAGCCTAGCGAGGGGGCTGGCGAGCTCTCCAGGATGTCCGTGTGCTCTCCCGGAGCAGCGGATCAGAATTCAGATGAGGCTTCAGATGGATTTATTGGAGTGGCACAGTGTACGCAGCATGGGCTTTGAGTTAGCACATGAAAGAATGGTGCGTTCCCAGCAGCAGAAGGCATTAATGAAATATGTTCCTCTTACTGACTTGCTTTGAACTGTCACCTATGACTACGGCAATCACATTCACAGGGCTGTGCAGCACTTACTGGTGCTCAGCTAGTAAAATCAGTAAAAATGTCCCTGCTAATAGAGAACATAACGGCAATGCTATTGTTTCTGTGGCCACTGGCACAGCCGGGGTTTTCTGGAGCCGTGGAGCAGAACCTCCCTGTGCTAGGAAGCAGAGAACATCGCCTGCTCTGATGGCAGGATTGCTGCCAAGAACAGAGGCTTCTTTGAGTGTGACCCTTTGCTCTTCCCTAGTACCTGATTTTCTTTGATGTAAGAGGATTATTGGGGGGAAAAAAAACAACCCCCCACTCTGCACAAAGGGAATTTCTGGTCCTCCTGTATCAGTTCTGGTGCTGATCAGCTGCAGCTGTACGTGGGTGCTGCTGGATCCAAAATAATGTCCTTAAATCAGAGCAAATGCTCCCCATGCAGGTGGGGTCACAGCTACCACTCTTTCTGCTTTGCAAGCTGCAAGGGTCGTTTCTAAAAACTCACTGTATCCACATAATACTCAGTTTGGAAACCCTCTCACACCCTTGGTGTACGTCTGTCTTGTAACGAGATGTCAGCCTGTTCAGGCTTCTCTCCAGGAGCTTCAAACCCCCGTGTTTCACATGTTGGCTCCTCCTGCCTACCTGGGACCTAAGCAAACTGCTAATTGTTGTGCAGATGTCATCTTCCAGGCAGGCATGAGGTTGTAGGCTTTAAAGAAGCTGTACTGTTATTTGCTACCAACCTTCTTGGTACACGTGAGCTCTATTTTTATGGGAGTGTGCGTTTTTTTCAGCCGCTGCTTTGTTGAATTTCTTTTTCTTCTTTTCTCTTTTTCTTTCCAGGCTTGCAGGTAAAGTTTTAGGGATACATCTATTTTTCATTATCCCAGTTTTACTGCTTGTTTTATAACTAAAAAAAAAACAAACCAAAAACCCCCAAACCCAAAAAACCCGTTTCCTATGTAAAAAGCAGCAGTTTGTTCCAAGATGAGTTGAGGGGAGGACTGTTTGTCGTGGTCAGTCTGAGGCTGAGGTCCTGCCTGTGGCATTGGCCAGAAGGGTACATCGATTTTTTGGAAGGAGATGGAGCTTGAGTCCATGAACTCTGCTCTGGGTTTTCCAGCTCAGGAACCTGGGTGTTAGTTGTAGCCTGGTTGCACTTGGCAGTGCCCCAAGAGAGATGGAGGCTTTGGCCACAGGTTGTCTTTGCCTGTCTCCTGAAAATGGAGAGCTTTTCTTCTACTCTGGTTGTAGTTTAATAAGGGCTCGTGGGTCCTTGAGGTGATTCTTTAACCCTTTAGAAAAGAGGAGGACATCAAAGGAGGATATCAAGCACCAGGTCAGAAATGCAAGGTGGTACTTTCATGCACAGTGTGAATTAAGCGGTGGAACTCATTGCCGACTTGCTGTGGGTGTCGGAAGTCCAGATCCGCTCCAAAAGCAATTAATGGGAAAAACAAAAATCCAGTTGTTCTGACTTTGAACTCAAAGATAGAGGCTGCTGTTCAGGAAGACCCTGGGTCAGGAGTTTTTGGAGGATGCAGAAGTGTATCAGATGTATTACTGTTTGTGCTCCCTGCTCTGCTGCTTTTTCCTCAATGTCCACCACTGACCAGCATGATGCAGTGTTTTGCCTTTTATTTTCTTTTTTTGTCTAAAGCAAAAGCCAAGCAGAAGGAGGAGTAAGTAACAAAACAGAGTGGGGAGACAAGATAGCAGTAAAGGAGTGGAAGGGAGAGGACTCTACTCCCTCCATGTTGCCGAAGATTTTTTTTTGGGAGAGAGGTCCTTTGGTGGCAGGAGTTGGTGTTGGGTGCACCTGTGAGTATATTTTCTGTTTTGTGGAATAGAAGATGGTTGCTTCAAATAAGGAAGAAATCTGCGATGTGATGTGCCATCCTGGTGGACAACAGAAACAGATAGATATTTAGGACTGCATGTATCGGAGGAAATTCTTTAAAACCTGGACAGGAGTAGGAGCAGACTTGATGGAGGAATGAGTAATGAAAGAGGGTTTGAACGGAACTAATCAGTCCCATCTTCTTTCAAAAGACCTCATTTAGTTTAATTTAGCAGCGTGTAAATTTAGAGCCAATCAAAGGAAATACTTCTCAAGCCTGTGTGCTGGCAGCTTGCTCCGTTCCCTACCCCAGCGTGAGAAGCAGCCAGCTGAATGCTGTAGGTGGATTGAAAGCCTCGTGTTGTGAGGCAGTGGGGGCACGCGTGTGTGTGAGCACGGTTACACACGTAGTGGTGGGGATAGGAGCTCTGTACCAGGGTGACTGGCAGCCACAAGAGCAGAACCCTTTTTTCCCGCCTCTCTTGTTCAGTAGGTCGTCTGTGGTGGGTCGGGGTGGCTGTATGCTGTGGGACTGCTTCGTGGACCACTGCCAGCTCCTGGGCTCATGGTTCGGGTGAGGTGGTGCTCTGTGCAGCAGGGAAAGCCTTGTGCTGTAGGAACCACCAAGTAAGCCTTCTTGACCTCTGCAAAATGTTGTACATACATACGGATTTAGATAAACCTCTGATCCTTTGATGGGTGGTAGTTTGGTTTAATTTGAATTAACACAGCCACTTCTGTGCTTAAAATGAGGCACAGGCGTAAAAAGCCTTCACAGGATTGCACTGATTTTTATTTTCCCCTGTAGTTGTCATCCATGGAACTAACACAGTGATTTCAAACAAGACTTGCAGGTCTCTTCATATTTTCCAGGGGAGATATAAGCCCCTGCGGGATCAATAGATGCTACTTTGTCGTTACCTGTCACAAACTCCATTAGCAGTAAAAATTGGCACCCTTTGCTCTTGGCTGCCCCTGCCATGAAACCCATGTGCTAACACCTCAAGGTGTTGTGTTTCCTGCGGTGTCACACCCCTGAACCCATGCTGTGCTGCAAAATGCCATGTAAAGAATGCTGAAACCTGTGAAAATGTGGACTAAAATATTGTTGGTTTTGTTTTCCTTTGCATTTTAGGCTGGTGGCAATGTCTCACTGGGCTGGTCTCCTCTCCACTGCTGCCAAAGTCAACCTGCTGCTCTTGGTGGTTTCTGCAGTGTTTCCTCGGTCAAGCCTAAGTGACAGAGTTCCCGTAAGTGTTGGCTGCTCTGGCTGGGCCGCACTCGCTAAGGGCTGTTCAGCCACCAGTGTCTCTGATGGGGCGACAGCCTTACCCAATAACCTCGGTAGGGCCAAGTAGGGTGTTGAAGCAGTTGGTGAATCACCTCACCTTGACAGTGGGTCTTCAATAACATTTCAGAAGGGCTTCTTTCTTAAGCCTGCTTGCCTCCCCCAGGAAATCCAGATTATGCTCGATCCAAAGGGTTTGCAATAGGAACAGAGCAACTCGGGCAGCTCTCTTGTTTGCTCGGTGTCACTTTTTCTATTTGGAGTTGTCACACGTTCCCCCTCGTGGTAAGAGGCAAAGCTAATTATGTGGTCTAGTGGCAAGAAGAAGGGAAGAGTTGTCCTCGATTAGGTTCCTAGCTGTGCCTCTGCTTAGTCACCACAAGTGAGTCAGGCTTAGATGAGCATCCTCTCAAGTCCTTGCATTCTACGTGCATGGATTTTGCTTCTTGCAGTGCTATTTTGAAGCTGCAGTTGAGGTGAGTGGCTGCTGTCTGCCCCTTTGCACTTGTACAGGCGTGCAAAACTCCCCCGGTTTGGATTCTGCTGCTGAGCCCCAGGTGCCAGGCCCTGCTAGATGAACAGATCTGGAAAGCTTCCTTGAGGAAACTTGACCAGTAGAGTGTGGTGTTTTTTTTAGTTTAATTAATGCTGTGGCTTAAAACAGGGGGTTCCCCAGCAACACTGGTGTAGGGGATCACTGGACCCCATGTCCCTGGACACTCGCTCCTGCGTTTGCATTGCAGCTTGCTGGTCGTTGGTTGTGTGATGCGGCTGTTTGGGGGCTGCGCTATTACCCAGAGCAAATAGAAAGGGACAGATTACAGTATAAGCACTGTAGGCCAGGGCCTCGGGCCCACCTGGAGTCGTGTAAGGATGAGAGAATTTGTCTTTATTTCAGAGAGGGAGGGGAGAAGGCTGGAAATAGAGCACAGTCACCTCAGCTGGAGAACAAGCACTGGGACAGCCACACAGTGAAATGAGCCCGAACTGGGAGGCAGCCTGACACCGAGGTTCAGAGAGGATTAATGCAGTGGGTGGTTAACACTCCCATCATCTTTTCCTGCCCTCCCCCTACAACGACTCCATGGTGGCCATGTCTCTCCTTTATTGCAAACAGACTGCAGATTGTCTCAAACCCTCCCTGCTGAGGCTTTTCAGCTTATTGCAGTTGATTTCAGCCTGATAAAGCAAGGAGGTTTTATGCCCTTAAGGAAATTTCCATTGTTCTTTAGAAAACATCTTTCCCTTGACCATTTTAATTATGAAAACCGAAAAGGATTCTGCCTAATTTCTGCATAAATGAAGAATTGCTTGTATGTTGTTGCCCATTTTTGCCAGAAATGCTAATGAAAACAGGGTATTGCAAAGCAACTGTGGGCCAAGCAGTGGCAGTAACATTTAAATGGACTAAGTCACATCCTTTTATCCTTACCGAACATTTAGACCATGGCATTTCCCTTGGGCAGAGCTGGTAAACATCAGCTATCTCCATTATGTGTTTCAATGGATACAACACTTGGAGGCCTGTTGGTAAATTTACAGTGGCCTCTATCGTTAAGTCCCTCTTGGATAATAATATAGCAATGTAAATAAGCTAAGTAATAACTGCTCTGACTCATTTATTTTAGTCCTATGGAGTCTTGGCTCAGAAAATGTTAACATTGATTTTCATCAGTAGAACCTGGCTTTTTATGTTTATGATTGTTACTGAGCTTTAACCATTTATCATAATTTTAACAATTTCAAACCTCTGGTGCACTAAATGAAAGCAGGAGTTAAACTCTGTTTTCCAGTGCGTTTCTGAAATTTCAATCCCTTTTGACAGATAAAGTAAAAACATTCTATAGGTTTGTCAACCCTCTTTATGGATTACCACTTTTGTTGCTAATTGTATGTGTTTTGCTCAGGCTGACGTTTCTCTTGCTCAGAGACACTTTCCTAGGCTGGATAATGGATATTTATATGCAAAGCACCCAGATTCTGCCAGAAAATATGCATGCATTTTTTCCAAGAAGTGGAAGAAGTGAAGGCAGAACGTGGCCTAAAATTTCCAGTTAACCTCTTAATTGACTTTTTTTTTTTCCCTGTGAAAACATTCTAAGAATTAATATCAAAACACTTCATGAAGTGAGCTGTAACTCTTATTCTAATTGCCAACAATTAGGAATAATCTTTCCCT